GCCTGAACCCCCCCCAAGACTCGCCCCCCTGCCCCCCCCCTCTCCACACACACGCGCGCGCTGCAGCAACGTGTTCCTGCTCCTTTCATTACACCCTGAACAAAACTCAAATTCAGACTCAGCTGATGGAAAAAATGCCAACAATGTGGGTTGTTTTTCTTTGTGCAGACATCAGTCGTGACTGGTTCATCACCTGGGTGGGAAAAAACAAACAAACATGAGAAATAAAAGTTCACTGAACTCACAGTTTGTATGCAGTGTTTTTAATGATATTGCTCAAGTACAAAATTTAAAGACAAATATTCAAAGAACATTTTAAATTGGCTGCATCCTTCAAAGTGCCTGCAGCATCTTTGTGTCCTCGTTCTTTTTGTTGTTGTTGTTGTTGTTGTTGTTGTAGTCTCTAAGCATCGCCACAAGAAATAATCAGTAGATTCTGTAATTGTATGATTTTCAACAATTTTTTTTCTCTAATTTCTTTAACCGTTTGGTGTCAGACAGAAGTTGTTGGCAAATGTTATAATAACTAGATATGGGCCAAATGGTGCTATATGTGGGCCACTGAAGGTCCATTAAACATTGCGACGGTCATTAGAAATAGTGATTGTTTCGCCCATTATTGGGTCATATTATTATTTTTTCATTTTGGGTGGTGACTGTTGTTACTGCAACTAAAGCAAACCTAAACTTTGGATTTCCTGTGTGGTCATCGTAGACCACAAAAAGGCCAAGGAAACTTGTCTGGCCCACATTGTGGTTGAATATATGTATGGCCCATAATCTGGATTCTAGACCGGTGTCAAATCAGTCTTTGGGTCTGGGGAATACCCTTAGTTGAGGACCATAACTTGACCAGACCAATTCTAAAATCCCACATAATGACCCACAGCTGTGATAGGACTGAAGTATGTGGTACACACTTGTATGCCAACTTTAAAACACCTACTACATGAAATGACTCAGTGGTTCCTTTTTTTTGTGGGGGGTGGAAAAAAAATGAGTGACAACCCAGAATAAAATTACAGCAAATCCCTGAATAAAAATATTCAAGTTTCACAACTTGCTTTCAAAAATGAAAAGTATGAAAAGATTTTTGAACGATATCGACAGGTTTAAAAAAAGCACCAGTGCAGCTGGGAACAGCAGACGATCCATCATGTCTCTGGCTGACCGGATTGAAACGGTAATACCAGAGGTGTCCAGAGGGTGAAAATATTTCACACATTCAAATTGCATGAGAACCAGGGACGAGAGGTTCTGTGGAACAATGTGTTCCGAAAATGGCTTTCAGATGTGAGATAAGATTTGTTTTGCATGAATATTTCAATTTAAAAATAAAAAAATGAATGGCCCTGACTATCATGTACCATTTTGACTCAATACTGTTTTGACTCTAACTTTGATCATTCTGTTTGGCTTTAGCCTTTGAGGAATTGTGTTTTTATGGGTTTGACTGACTTTCTATAGGGTTGAAGTTGATTCATTGTTTTATTTAACATCTAAATTTTGATGAAAGTTTTTCACTTTCATGACCTCATAGCTGTATCTGCTAAATATTAGCCGTGTTTCAGCCAACTTTAGCCCTGTGTTTGGCTCACATATTTTAGTTTTGCTTAAATTATTTTTCTATCTATTTGGTATCCTAAGGTGTTTTGGGTTAACTTCAAATATTTAAGTTAATTTCATCCTTTAGCTAACCTTTGGAGTTTTCTCGGCTAACGTCTGATAATGTTTTTAGGACGTTTTAGGATCAGCGTCACAGCTGGCTGGAGGGCAGCCGTTAAAAAAAAGTACATTTTGATGAGGTTCTGGAAACAGGTTCTGTGGAACAATACGTTGTTCTGAAAACAAGTTTCAGACGTGATGTAAGGCATCGCTTCACTCCTCTTTATGAAGAAGTCAACCATTTAAAAAGACACGAAGAGTGAAATGACTTGACATGCATTGCCCACAGGCGTGTGAACTGCATGCAGATCTTTTATTGGGAGTTAGATTAGTGCAAATAAGCACTTAATAAAAGCTGCAGTGCCACAGACACGCTGAACTAGTAAAACATCATGGTGCAGGCATTATTCAGGACGAGCGTTGAACCTGTGCCAGGGTTTTTTTTTGTTTTTTTTTTCCCGTTCCTCTTCTTACAGTCTGTTCTTTCTGCCAGGTGGTATGGTAAGGAGAAGGAGTGTGAAGACTACACTCACACGCAGCCGTACTCCTGCAGCATCACCCGAGACCTGCACCTCTTCACGCCCTACGAGATCTGGGTGGAGGCCTCCAACCAGCTGGGCCGGGCCACCTCTGATGTCATCACTCTTGACATCCTAGACGTGGGTGAGTGTGAACTTTAACCTGCTCGCCTTTTGTAACTGGTGCTTAGATCCCCAGTGCATCCTGGGAGCCCCCCAGGCTGTAACCAAGAGAGGGAAAAGCTAACATTGAGATGATGATGAGGTGGATAAAAACCTCATGTTGCCTCTCATTCATTTGAACCTTTTTAAGCATTTAATAATACGTAATTACGCCACTCTTTTTAGAATTTGTCGAACATTTTTAGCCGAGCACATGGCTAACTAGTTCTGGCTTTGTTTGTTGTTTTTGCTGGGCTAATTGTAGTCATAAGCTTGGGTTGGCTATTTGTTGGCTGATCTTCATTTATGCCACTGCCAAAATAGTGGTCAAATAATGTGTGATAATTCAAATGTATGTTTTGCCTTTTTAAGATTTTACATTTTAATTTGGTCTAATATCACCTTTCTTTTCTTTTCTATTTTTTTTATCGCCTTTGCTGTATTTTCTGGTCATTTCAATTCATTCAGCTGTACTAAAAATATATATATATATTTCCAGTTTGACATTGATAATTCAGCTGTACTAAAAATATATATATTTCCAGTTTGACATTGAGCTGTCTTTCTGCTAGCCTTAGCATTGTTCTGTATGGATTCAGTTAATGGTAAATTCTGCCTTTCCTCTCATACAGTATTTAACTGTAATAGCTTCTATCTATATCAAAAGAAATCAATAAAAAAACTTGTTGAAATATTTACAGATTAGAAGAGAAAAACCCTAGTTTAAAATACCATGTAGCAACTAGAAAAGATTGCTAAAGTGTGCTAAATGGCAGGATGTGTACTTCAGTGAAATGGTGCGAAGAATGCAGGTTACACAGGGTGAGGAAATTGGGATGAAATTTATTTTAATGATGACTTACAGTCACAATAGAGAGTGAGTCAGAGGAGAAAACACAGAAGAAAGTGTCTTCCAGCAGCTCAGTAACATGTTAATTAGGGACCTGTAATTAAAGTTACAACTTGATTTTTACATCTTCAATTAGCCTTTTCACAGAGGTTTATGTGACAGACCTGAGATTTATTTTTCAACCCATTTCCACTCTCTCTCATTTCCCCGGTGTCGGCCTGTTGTTCCTGGCCTGTAGGTTCAAATTAAATCTACAAACAAAGTGTGAACATAAATGTGAAAATGACACGTTTTTTTGTCTGGGTGAGTTGACGTGCCGAGACCTGCCCGTGGAGCAGTCTCTGGAGTCATGAATGGAGTGTCGTCATTCAACCTGTTAAATATCAACCAGCTGAAATTCAGCATTTCAGCCAAATAGAACTTGTATTGTTTTTGAAAGGAGTGGCGCTTTGGCCCAGAGGCAACGTCTCTGTCATTGGTGTGGAACCCCAGGGTTCACCTCCTTCCCAGTCAGGGTGGTTGGTCCCTTCCAGTGGACTCACCACCTGCAGGAAGGTTTAGGTACGGTGCAGTGTGATTTGGGTGGCGACTGCTGCCCCCGCGACAGGTAACGGATAAGCGGATGAAAATGGATGGATGGATGGGTGGTTTTTTTTTTTTTTTTTTTTTTTTTTTGCAAAACAGGTTTCCTGCCTCCGTCACAATAAAGGGCTTTTTCCTACTTGATGAGTCATGGAAAAAGTTTTAGAACAACAGGAGAAATGCATTTAAAGAATGTTTAGGAGAGCCGTCGTTCTTGGTTTGAACAAGTCTGGATTTTCCAGCCCCCGTCACCCCAACAAAAATGTTGACAAATTACATTTCAAATTAATTGAACTGACACCAAGTGACGTCATATTTTATAATGAATCGAAATAAATAATTAAATAACACACATACAGAAATAAATATTTTTTATTTACCGGTATTTATTTATTTTTAGTTTGTCGTACTCCACCTATCAGGCCTCTATTCCCCATCAGTGGGGTAGTAAAGTGTGCTCAACATCTGGTCTTCGGGCCTATTATGGCACACAGGTAACTTTAACTTGTCCATTATTTCTTAGCTTGATCCAATTTTCTTTTTTTTTTCTTTCTCGTATTAACAAATTGAACATCTTTTTGGCTTTCTTCGTGATTTACAATTTTTGTGTGTGGGGTACAGTGCAAAACCCAGTATTTCAAAACTGTTTTGGTTGTCTAATGATCTGATGATTACTGCACATTTCTCATTAGTGTGATTAAAGAATATCTGGGTGAAGCTGCTCCAGCTCTTTGTACAGTAAGTAACAGAATGTAGTCACCGTGGATAAGAGGATAAGAGGATGACTGTACATCATGTGCTTGATTTCTGATCCGATTTCTCTTCTCATGATGTTAATTACTGTGACCCAGCAGTGACTGGAGTTTAAGCTGCTATAAAATGTTAAAGATGTCACTTTACATTACGCCCGGGTCTCTTTTTAATTTGTTCAGTCGGGATGTTGGCCGTTGTTCTGAGAACCTTGGGTTCTCACCCAGCCTTGAACTGATAGGAAGTGAACAGTGTTGCCTTTTAAAGCTTTGTTTTGTGCTTCGTGGACTTCGTGGCTCTGTACAGTCTGTGGACTAAGAGGCTTTGTTTGAGTGTCTTTGTCCAAAGTCTGTTAGAATGTTTTAAACTTTTTTTTTAAAGACGTTTTTGGTGCTTTTTTGTATCTTTTAATGCCATTTGTTTAAGTTTTTGGGGCTTTTTTGTATCTTTTAATGCCATTTGTTATATATCTATTGATTTGGGCTTTTTGCTACATCTTTCAATATTTAGATGAATTATATGAATATTTTGTACCTATTTTTTAGACTTCTATTTTTGTTTTGGTTAATTTCTAAATGTTCTTCAGACTGTAGCTATTATTGCTTGATTTGTTTTTCTCTTTTTGCCTTACACCTATGTTTACAGTAATTAGAGTTTTTTTTTTCTTTTTTTATCATTTCTTTTCATGAAACTAAGGATCAAGTTTTTTGGTTTGTGTTTTAGCCTGACGTTGACCATTTTTTCAGCAGAATCTTAACTTTAATTAATCCATCCATACATTTAATAGTATGACTTTACTATTGGGGCTTCACTCTTTCTTTGCACAGGAAATTGTCAGTCAGTACATTGGCTCCAGTTTTGTTTCCTCTGCCTGTGGCTGAAAACTGTTTTCAGGTTCTCACCAGGTTCCTTCAGCCATGAGCCACGTTTGGAATGAGCACTGTTGCCTTTTAAAGCTTTGTTTGGTTCTCCGTTGCTTAGTTAAGTGTGGTTAAAGTTGAATTTCATTGGTTTCCCACACCTGGATGAGCGCAGGTGTGCGTCAAATGGAACCTTCCCTTTCTCTGATGAGGCAATTTTCACTTTATTCATGCTCACTGGACACAGAGATGGGCTTCAAAACAAGTCTCTGGCTCTGGCTTCTTCATGTGGTGCTGGAATGTTCCAGAGCAGATCCTGGAGACTAATCCTGTCTCTGACGTGGCTGTAGACCCCCGAGGCCTCAGGATCTCACACTTTGAGGCTTTGGGACAGCCACCTGACATAATAAGACCTGATTAGTTTGGAATACTTCACCTGATTCTCCTTGAAAAATTAACCCTAATGATGTTGCGGAAATTTGCCATAAGAGAGAGAGAGAGAGAGAGAGGGATGTATGGGGGTTCAGAGGTGATGACGTCACTGGCAGCGAAACAAGTGTCCATCAAAACTCTTTAATCCCTTCCCTCGTTCCTTAACATATGCAGGCCTTACACGCACACACCTGTTTAGACGCCCCCCGGGGCAGGGCAGGGCAGGGCCTTAGTAACAGTATAGAAACAGAGAGACTTGACGCCGAGTGGGGGCGGTTTCTGGACGAGCTTTGTTTGGCTGCAGGTCTACCCCCCCGCCCCACTTGCCAGAGTTGTTTCCACAACAGCAGCAGCAGCAGCAGCGGGCGAGGCGTCGTAAAACACACTGTAACCACACCTGCATGCTGCGAGTGTGGGGGGGGCGGCCGTGAATCACCCATTTCTCCGGTCATGTCCGATCAGTTCTGAAGGCGAGGCGGGAACACCTACGGTTTATCAGTGCATTCCTCAGTCACGGGGAGCCCAGTGAAACCCACAGGCTTGAGGCAACATGTAGCGGTGTCTGTGGGGGTGAGGATGAGCCGAGGAATGACGACATACAGTACGGTATCAGTGAATCATCTTTAATTAGTCACGTCTCACTGGCTCCTATTGTTGAGTGCAATTAAGGAGGAGGAAAGAATTTAGAGGAGAATTCTTTTGAGCCAACGCCGATGTTATTACTTTTATTTTTTTCCTCTAGTCTTAAAACAGATACAGAAAGTTTTAGGGTGGAGGGGGTGTAGTATATGTTCATTATGACCCCATGCCCTTTTTTGGCATCACAGGTGGCGCTGTCTCCCTGTAGTTGGGAAATTGGCTTTCTTACGTTGCCTGGAGGTCGAGCAGCTGAGCATGGCAAAACCATCAATTTTTTTTTTCTAAGCACATTTGGCATTTTAATATTGACTTCCTGTCCTCTTCTTTTTTTTTTCAAATACCTAAAGGAAAAAATAAAAAAATTGAAAAAATATAGAAAGAAATAATAACAGTGTGCTCCGTAAACCATTCTCTGATATTGGTAGAAACAACATTAGCCAGTAATTTATTAACAGATGGCAAATATAAATATACACATAAAAATATAAATAAATATATAAATAAAATACAAAACAAAATTAATTGCATTCTTTCAAAGTCTGAGTTATAAATGTGCCATAAAAACTTGATGTAATAAACTTTTATTACTTTTATTGATTAAAGAATTTGCTCCAGCCTCCGTCTGTAGTCGACGATATCCTCTACAGATTTCTGGTCTGAGTGGAATTTTCTTTTCTTTTTATTACTGTTGTTTTTTTGCCATAGTCAAATGTCAGGCTGGGGCCGTTGCGTCAAACTTTGTTCCTTTTGGCCCGTTTTGTTTGCTGTGTTTTCCCCAAGACTTGCCTGATTTTTCCCTATTTTTTGGCTCAACATTGTTGTTTGCTCTGCCTTAACTTGTATAGAATTGCTCAGTCTTCATCCTTTTTTAAAACATCTTTTTTTTGCACTTTGGTTTAATTACATTTACTTAATTATTGATTATTAACTTTATATTCTAGCTTTTAATTTTTACTTATATTACATTTACTTAATTATTGACTTCCTCTTTGTTTGTCTTTGTATGTTTTCAGATATAACTTTATTATTCTTATATTCTAGCTTTTAATTTTTACTTACTACTTTACTTACTTTAAAAGTTTGATTTCATTTACGACTAGTGTTTATGTTTTTATTTTTTAATTAAATTGTCTTCTGAGCATTAAGGAAGCTAAATATTTAAATATTCAAGTTATTTCTTGGCAAACTTTTAGATGTATTTTCTAAAAGCTCAAAGTGAAATGTTCGGACGCCCCTGGTCTAACGGCGACTATTTTATATAGGAGAAAGTCACGTCTTCCGTTCCCACCCACCGTCGTTCCCTCAGAGTCGCCTTGTTTGTTTACTGTAAGGGACAACATTATGTAGAGGAACTGACGTTATTATTCCAAAGATCACTGCAGCCCCAAAACAAAACATGAGGGAAGTTAAAATAATGGTGTGTCACCACATGTTTGTTTGTTGGAAAGATAATCACTGACAGATGAAGACGCCTCCTCCAGCTCACACGAGTCACATCTTTAGAAACTAGAAGCATCTGACCATAAGTCTCAGCCGGTGCCGGATGACGCTGTACACACTGATTCTCTTCAGACCTCCCCCCACAACTCCCCTGCCCCCGACCTGTGAATTTCTGCAGCCATGCTGCCAGTGTTTTTTTTTTTCCTTTTGTTTGTTTGTTTTAATTAAACTTGGGCCATCTGTGCTCCAGGAGTTTTTCATTAACTCAAAAGAGAAATAAACTTGTTAATGATTGTAATTAATTAAAAAAATACCTCAGTTATTGCTTCACATGGGAACTCCCACATATAAGTTGGCTCTGGGCATTACATTACATGTTTTTAAATTTTATTTTGCAATTTTGTGTTATTGCTTTTTTAAATTTTATTTTACCTATTCTATTTTTAAAATATTTTGCATGATCAGTTATCACTTCTGAAATAATATAGTTTTGTTTTGTAAAACCACGACATGTAAAGTTTGATGAACTCAAGTTTAAAAATAATGCATTTATTTAAACCTCCCTAACTTCTAGCACACAGGTAACACTGATGCACACACTGCACCTACAGGTGGCAGTAATTCACCTTAAGTTTGTTTGCTAGTTGAGGAGCAGATGCTCATGTATTTAGTGAGGTCTAACACACTTGTCATGAATTTAAAAACCCTGCTTAATGTTTCAGATATTGGTGTTTTTTGTGTCCCGCCCAGAGCGTTGACTCTTGTTAACGATTGGTTCAAATTAACAGACCATTTTATTTGGAAATCTTTTCAAAATGAAACCTCTTGTCATCTCTTATTCTAAATAATCAATCCCTGTCATCTCTGATCCCCCAGTGACCACCGACCCTCCAGCAGGTGTCACCGTGAGCCGCGTCGGGCAGTTAGAAGACCAGCTGAGCGTTCGCTGGGACGCACCACCGGCTCTCAAGGACTTCCTGTTCCAGGCCAAGTACCAGATCCGCTACAGACTGGAAGAGAGCCAAGACTGGAAGGTAAGGAGAGAGAGCAGAGAGTCAAAAGGGTCGCAATTGTGAGGACAGAGTGTGAGGTTAATCTGTCCTCGCTCCGTGTCTGAAACAGTGGTATTTGAGCGCAGCTGTTTCTCATCCTCCTGCTGTAATCACCTCTAATCTGGGCTGATTGAAACCTCCTCTGCCAGATGAGTTAATAGCAGGGCTCTTAAAAAAACCCTCTTTTGTAAATCCTAAATTTGGGGAAAAAAAAAAAGGACAGGTCACAGCCACTCCTCTTAAGCTTGTAATTAATGAAAACTACAGTGTCAGACCTGTGGCTGTGCAGGTGCTGCTGAACTCCAGTCCTCTGGGCCAGGGTGAAGATTCTCGGGTAATTAAGGAGGGGGAATTGGACTTAAGTGGACTTAATGTAAGCAAGTCTTTGCTTGCAATGTGGAAAAAGAAAAGTGGGAGCGGAGGGGCTGGTGGAGAGCGAACAAACGGGAGTTCCAAGTGGTTCTCAGGGTTTCTCGGTGGTGAAAACAAAACGCTGTGTTCCTCCGAAGCGCCCGTAATCATGAGGTCATGTTCAGGAATGGAGAGATACATCTCGGCTCTCTGCTAATGTCTTCAATATGGCCGTTTCAAAAAAAAAAAAAAAAAAAAAAACTGTAACTTGATTTTGGCTCCTGCACACAACGCCATTAGCCCCGCGATGTCTGTAATTTCGACCTTCTGTTCTTTTGTTAACAAGTGTTTACAGAGCAAATGCCAGAGAGAAGGTGGGGACTATTAGAGCACGTTAATAACTGGAGCCAGTTCCCTTTCCGTCTCTAAATATCTATTTGTGTATGTTTGTGCCTATGTGCACTCCCTCCTTTGTGTATTCATGCTCTGTAATAAATAATCCACAGCAGATTTTTGCCCGGAGGCAACAATTACAATAAAATATTTTCATAAACACACTGATCAAGACAGGAGCCACCAAACAATGTGGTGTGCACGCATGTTTAGATCTGAACATGGTCTGGGGCAGTGTTTCGGTTTATGCCCACTGGTATTTAATACTGCGGTCAGACCTCCAGCACTCAAGTATTCTCTGTTTGTGTCTTCTTTTTTTAGGTGATGGATGATGTTGGGAACCAGACTTCTTGTAGGCTGGCAGGACTGAGACCTGGGACTGTCTACTTTGTGCAGGTACTGTATCTGGAGATTTATGTGTAATTGACAATGTTCTTTTTGAATTAAATTTCATTAAAGCAGAAGTAGATGGGGAATCTATTCCTCAATTAAACTTTACATATATTATGTATTCAAAATAATTTGTGTGCTCCATAGAAGTGCTTTATATTCCATTTTACTATAAATAGGATTGTAATTTACCAAATCACATTCTTCGAAAACCTTGGCTCCAGATTGACATATTAAAAATAGCTGCATGATCAGTTAGTTTACTCTTAAAATGTGAGGAAACGCGTCGGAGTTGAAATGAGAACTCCTTAAACTTAATCTGCATGTGACTTTGAATCATTGTGCAAACCTAGGTCAGTTTAAAAGTAAATGCTTGGTGGCTGCTAAAAGAGGACGTAAAATGAGCCCAAAATTGGTCAAGTTGGTGGCTGTCAGAACTGCTAAAAGAAGACGTAAAATGAGCCCAAAATTGGTCAAACATTGGTCGTGTGCTTTGAAAGAGTCAGAAAATACAGCAAAGATAGTTAAAGATAAACAACCATCAAAGAAAGCTTTAATGTAGCCAACAAAACTAACATTTTAAATTATGACAGTCAGGAAAACAGGCACAGAGCTAAAGTTCACTCCAAACATGTTTCAGATATATATATCAGGAACAGATAAAAAAGCAACTCAGGGTGCTATCGTTTTCTGAAAAGTAAGAAATAGCTCAGGTAACTAAAGTCACAAATAGCTAATATTACAGGAAACATTTGCAAGTAAACATACAGATCCCAGAAACAGACACAAGTTATGAGGAAAAGCCACAAGGGGGGGTTAATGACGACACTGCTCAGCACAAACACATACAATGACAGACATATTCTCTGAAACACTTAGGTCAGTCACAATAACAGGAAAAAAAAATCAGATGTGAGTCACTTCAGCCTGGAAAAGGGCAAGTATTCCTAATCCCTCAGAGTTGGTCTTTGTTTCCGACTCAAAAATGTTGTAAAAACATCTCTGCAGGTTCGCTGTAACCCTGTGGGCATCTACGGATCTCGTAAAGCTGGAATCTGGAGCGAGTGGAGTCACCCCACTGCTGCATCCACACCGCATAGTGGTGAGTGACACAAGCAGCTGCAAAATAAATGTATACACTTATACCTGTCTTTGCCATCTTATTGGGTCCAAAGTCTGTCCTCAGTGTTATTCTATGGGACCATCAGTTTGTAGGGACTTTAAAAAGTGGGTCCCCAATTTATTGTTTACAGGTGCTAATGTATTGACCTTACTCTCTGAATAGTCCAACATCTGTGTATTTTTTTATGATAGCATGTCAGAAAAGTATGACAATCCAAAAGTTTTCCCCGAAAAATCTAGGACACGAGTACATGGACATATTTCAGACTCTTCTGTTCCATTTGAAAGGACAGCTTCTATCACTGAAGCCTTACATCATATCACAGTGTTCCACGTATCCTGTGGTTCTCCCTGCCTTTTTTTTCTCTCTCACTGCTGGATCCTGGCAGTAGCCCGTGCAGGAAAATATAGTGCTATTTTGCCCCTCTTGTTCGATCCTGAAGCCTGTTTCGTATTGTATTGGCAGGTTTATGAGGAGCAGATGCATCAGTTGAATCAAATCAAACCAAATCAAATTATCGTTGAAGTTTTTTGAAAAATCAAACCAGACCGTTGAAAATATTGTTGACATTGCACCACACAAACAAACGGTGAGAAAGGAATGAATAATAAAGGTTGAATATGAATGAACTCGCTAAAGAAATATCACGTTAGTTTTCTCAGCACTGGCTGTCGTGAAGCTGTGCCTCACTGCGGTTCCGACCTCTTCAAACGTAGCGACTGAACGGTTAAGTCAATGTTATCATAACTGTGATAGAATTTATGGCCACAACTATGAAAACAAAAAAAAAATCCTTCAAGAGTTTCCCAGACCTTTTTCATAAAAGCCAATATTTTTAGCCTGAGCAGCAGGCCAATCTTGGGTTTGCATCATCCAGAGCCTGAACTTTTCACATTAACACCGAATCCCACAACTGGCACGAGCAACTGTAGCTCTCTTTTTTTTCTTTTCCCCCTAACTCTGGAATGTTAGCGAGTTCTGTAAATATTTTACTTATTTTAATCAGGTTTTTGATACCTTATACTTTCTTATTTATTACATCTCAGATAAATATGGTAGAGTCACGAGAACATTTACTCTTCACAGCCCTCTTTTTGGGGTATTATATAAAGCATTGATATTTGGCCTTAAGACAAGGTTGTCATTCTGTCTGTTAGCCAGGGTTGTAGGTTTACTACTCTGGCTAAGAGGTAGCCCCGAGGGGTTAAGGTAAGCCAAAAAATTGCTCAGAAGTAGCCAGAAATAAAACAACTAAACACGACTAAAATAGATACTCATTGGCAGAAATGAGCTGAGAGTTGGTCAAATATTATGAAATATTACACTAACACTGCAAAGCAGCTTATAATTAGCTTGGCTAAATGTGCCTTATCAGTGTATTAGCTCTATTAGCACTCTGTTATCACCTGCCAATATTTTTTTATGCTCTTTTTCCTATCATAACTGTTGCTGTATCTTGTAATGTGTTTATGGACAATTTATATTTGAGTTATTTTAGACTTATTTTGAAACTAATTTTCTTTTCTTTGTTTGTCATTTTTGGTGTTTTGTTAAGGGTGTTGTTAACAGTTTTCACTTATTTAAAATGTGCCCTTCGTTTACTTTAGGACACATTTTTTGCCAAAACCATTTTTGGGTTCCTTGTAGTTATGAACCAAGTTTTCCCTCTTTTAGCCGAGCCTTAGAATTTTTATTTTTCTGGGCTATTAAGGGCCTGGTTGATTTTTGATATGTTTTTTTTCTGGCCTAGTGGCTACTTTTAGGTAACTTAGATAAACTGTTACTATTAAATAACTGAGCTATTAAGGGCCTGGTTGATTTTTGATTTGTTTTGAGGAAACCCTGGGCTATTTCAGCTAACCTTTAGCGATGTTTTTGATTTAACCTAAAGCGCTTTACTTCTTTTTTCTTTTGTAAAGCATTTTGTAGTAATTTACAACAGAGTCTGTTCACTCTCCTCACCTCCCTCTGTCGTCTCCAGAACGGTTCCTGTCTGGCTCCTGCGACTCCAAGTCCAGTGGCGATTCCAACTCCACCCTGCGTCGGGAGCTGAAGCAGTTCTTTGGCTGGGTGAGGAAACACGCCTACGGCTGCAGTAGCATGTCCATGAAGCTGTACGATCAGTGGAGAGTGCTGATGCAGAAATCCCACAAAGCTCGCAACCAGGTAGGTAAGCATCGCCAACGCAGGGATGACGCACAAGCAGACACAGCGCCGCGCACACACACTCACATGTGCACCCAGCAGCAGCACCAGGCACACGGAGCAAAGTTAAAAGAGTCCTTATGAGAGCTGATTTATAACAGACTTTTATTTTTTTCTTTGTCTTTTTATTTAGGTTCTCCAAGGGGATAAATCCTAGCACATGCTGCCTTCACAGGCACAAAACAAGGCAAGAAATGAACTGTGTGTGTGTGTGCGTGTGTGTGTGTGAGAGAGAGATCAACTAGAGATTGTATTTCATATATGGGAAATATAAAGACAATTTGTTCTGGACGTTTTGTGTGGAAACCGGTGATCGGGGTGAGAGAGAAATTCCAAAAGAAAAAAAAAACTGTGGGATTTTCTTCCTCAACTGCATCATTTTCCAGCTGGGAAAGAGGAAAAGAGAAAGTGGAAGGGTCTTGTCTGTCCCGGTGTCATGTCAAGCTACTAAGAAAAAAAGTATAGCGAAAATAACTTGGATATCGACAACGACATTCGACATGCGTCTGTAACACAGAGGTGGTTGAACAACAGATCCAAGTAAAACAGAAGAACCCCCCCCCCCCTCACCCTTCACCCCCCCCCAAAAAAAATCTTCTGGGACCTTCTTGTGCTTTTTCATGTGGATTCAATGCGCCATCTAGTGGCTGAACATCAAGAAACACAGACATGATGAACAAATGATCCTTCAGTATTTTTGTTTTCCAAGTCATGCTTTGTTATAGTCTTTGTGGATTATGTGCCAAACTGGTTCACCCAGGATTCTTCTCAGCATGTGTGTGTGTGTGTGTGTCTGTGTGTGTGTGTGTGTGTGTGTGTGTGTAGCTGTTTGGGTGTGGAAACTCTTCACTGCCTGTTTGTTGTTTTTTTATTATTATTATTTTTGTACTGAGTTGAACCAGCATATTTAAAACTGTATAAAGTTATGTTTTATTTCCTAAGTTATGGTCTAATTATGTTAGTTAAAAGTTAAAAGAAATATCAATGACTGAAGTTGTTATCTGTGTCTACTGCCGAGCTATAAAAATATGGTCTTAAAATAAAGTGTTTGGATATTAATTTGCACCCTAATGAAAAACATTGTTGGTAGTAAATGGATTGTATGGTTTAATAATTATCAGTGATAGTGATAGTTATCAGTGAGTCTGTTTTAGTTTTACAAACCAACTTTGTTTTATTAAGTTGCACAAACCATAATTTAACAGAAAACAGTACATATGTCTGAAAATGTTTTGACACTGAGCTTTTTTTGAAATACCTACAGTTTTATTGTGGTTGAAATTATAATTTACTTTCAGTTAGCCTCTACATTTGGTTAGATGTTGTTTTTTGGTTACATTTTTAGCTGCATTCAACATTTAGCAACAGATTTACCAATTTAACATTTAGCTTTAACATTTGTTGTTTGACACATCATCCATTTTAATTTGAACAACTGTCTCACTAACACATATCAGTTTCTTTAGCTTTAGACTTGAATTTTATAATAACTGAAGATATTGGTAAAATTAACTTTTATCAATATCTTAGATCAAGTAATGTCTGTATTTTATTTTTTACAAAGCTAACCGTTGGCTTTTTTTTTTGTCAGTGAGTAGTTTTTCATAACCGTTGGCAATTTTTTTTTTTGTCAATGAGTAGTTTTTCTTGTCTAATTGTGGGATATGGTTTCTCAGATTTTAAAATGTAGATTTCTCTTTAAGTAGCATCTTCAGAATGTGAACAAATGGAAACCAGATTTTCTACCTCTCATTATCCACATTTTCAACCACAGAGGTTGACTAGGATTTATGGATTAGACCTTTCTGTGAAACAAAAACCGGAGCACAGTGACATGTGAATATGATGGAGGGTGATAAAGCAGGAGGAACTTTCTCAGATACTTCTCCAGTGAATGCAGATAACATCTCCTCATCAATGCCTTACATAGATTTACGACCGCTCTCTGTTGACAGGTGGAACTGTAGACGCTTGTGTTTGTTTCCTGTGGGCGTGCTGTGTCCTGTTACTGACTCTGAGACCACTCACAGTCACTGGTGCTTAATATTTAACCAGTGTGGCGTTTGTCGTTAGAGGCTTTAGTTACCTCTGAGCTCTCATAAAGAAACCAGGACAACCACGGAGCAGCTGGGGAGTTTACAACTTGATTTTTCCTGACGAAGCTAAGAGTCACATGTTAATTCAGGGATTTTTTTTTTTTTTACTTAGCATATACTGTTGGTTAAAAAGAACCAATGGCTTTGTTAGAAAAATGTTTTTGTTGTTTAATTATGTTGACATGTTAGCCTTATCTAGATGCCTTTGTTTTGTTTACTTGTTCTACTTATTATCTCAGCTGATATTTGACAAAATCTACACAGCTGACTTGTTTTTTTTTTTTTGTTTTTTTTTGCCTCACCTTTCCTAATGTTTTGTCCAACTCCTCAACTATTTCTGTTTAAATGTTCTTGATATCACAGTAGCTACCTCTGGCTAACTCTCTAGCTACTTTTTACTCTTGTTACTTGGCTAACTCAACCTACTTTGATCACATTTTTCTTACACCTTGCTCTGTGTTATTTCTCCACAGGTATGGGCTCCTTACTTATTAAGGCAGGCTATTTTAATCATTTTTGGGCCATTACCTAGCTCATGTTTGGTAGCCTAATAGGGTTAGTGTGTTAGCTTTTTGGGCTAACAAGCTAACCCTATTCAATCCTACTGCCTAATTGAGCGGTTTTCATTTTCATTTTTGGCCACACACTGGGTTTAACTGGGTTGATGCACCTGTAA